GTGCCCTTCGTCAAATGGGTCTTCTGCTTCCTATCCAGTGTCCAATAACACTCCCCACATTGACATTCTTATTGTCGATGTGGACTCTTCAGATTCTAGGTAAATGATCCCTAATATAACTAGTTTTGACTCCCTTGGTATGAGTTTCTAAATATTCTAACTCACTAAAAATCTTATAACATCGGGTTATGCAGTTCTGGTTTGAGATGCCCTGCTGCAGATTTTATTGAAGAGTCATTTCTTACAGCCGTAAAAGATTCTCTCTCTGAGCAAGGCCTCTTCATAATCAACTTGGTCTCTAGGTCTGCTGCCATAAAAAATTTGGTCTTTTCAAGACTGAAATCGGTGAGAATTACTTATTAGTGTTCTGGGTATATATCAGGGTACTAAACTTGAAAGTAGTTTATGTTGATATGAAGTGTAATATATAACCAGCAATAAGCCATTGACACTAGGTATGGGATATATGTAAATGCTAGGTAAATGTAAATGCTGTTCGGTAACATTCGGATGGCAAAGGAGTATAGAACAAATACCAAGATGTCCCCATCTTCATTCGTCTTGAATAATTAAGCATCTTTTAAGAGGGTATTTTAGTCCAATCACAACCAATTTTTTGTTTTTCCTTGCTCTGTTGGGAAGATATACCACCTTACTAATTATTCTGGTATTGCCTGAATTTACAGATATTTTCCGATTAAAAAAGTTATAGGTTGTGGACTTGTGGGATAATATGCAATATCAACCATGTATTTGTGTTGCTTCCAGATATTTAATCACATTTTCCACCTTGAGCTGGAAGAAGATGTCAACGAAGTTATCTTTGCTCTCAAAACCGAAAGTTGTATTTCTGAGGATTGCCTTCCTGGAGCTTGTGATGAACTTCTCACGTTGCTAAGGATGGAAGAATCCAACTTTGCTCAACCCATAATAGACGCTTCAAAGAAGATCAACAAGATACAATGAATCATTAACTATTAAAAGCTAAATGCATATGTTACAAGATTCATCGAAGGAAGGAAAGTTCTGTCAGATGGGTTCATTGGCGTGCACAGCTGCATACAACTGTGTATAGATATTTCCCAAGTTTGATCATCTTCCAGCCCTCTCTAGGTGAATATGCGGATTTGCCAAATGCAAGTTGTATTTTCCTTGTGATCGGTGTGTTTGTGTTCAATATATAAGTGGAAGTGTATCTCCCTGTGCGGGATACAAGTTTATTGATAATACGAGTCTGCAAGGTATTTTTGAAAATATGGTTATTGATGTAATTATTTAGGACGTTCCTTGATTTCTAAAAAGTCGTTCACATGAAATATGAAACATGGATGTCTTTTATGCATTGTTGCATACACGCGTCTTCACTACTGAACAAATCATCTTTTTGTTAGCATATAATCCTTCTTAATGCATATTGATAACTAATATGGAAGCATAAGTACTGATAGTCCTGTTCTGTTCCTATCTTTTCACCCATATTTTGGGTGTTAATTGTCTAATATTTATAATTAACCGGGTGACTATTGGCCGTATTGGCTATTGGGGGTAGAGTTGGACTCGGGCCGGGTGCCCCGACCCAGAACCGGCCCGGGACCGGTACTGTTCCGGCCCGGCCTGACCTGGTGGCCCGGTCAGTGACCGGTCCGGGTAGGCCTGGCCCGTGGGTTTTCCGGTCCGGGCTCGGGTCACCCAAATCAAGACCCGACCCTGCCGGGCCCGGGCCCTGTTCGGGCCAAAACCTATTTTTTTTCAATTTTTTTAAATTTGCGGGTTGGGATGGGTATTTTGGGCCATTTGGGGTGGTTTGGGGGGTTGGGGGTGGGAGGGGGGTTAATTAGGAAGAGGAAAACAAAAAAAATGATAATGGGCCTGGCCCGGACCCGGCCCGGACCCGGTGGTTACCTGGGCCGGTCCCGGGTCCACCATTTCTGAATCGTCGGCCCGCCCGGGCCTAGGCCGGACCCGGCCCGGACCCGAGTCCATCTCTAATTGGGGCTTTTGAATGCAAATTTGTAATTTTTCGGTCCTGGTGCATTCATTTTCAGTTTAGTATTTGTCTACACAATTTGACATTTTTGGAAATGGCCCAAAATACCCAGCCCAACCCGAAAATTTTAAAAAAATTGAAAAAAAAATAGTTTTTTGCCCGAACCGGGCTCGGGCCCGGCCGGGTTGGGCCTTGTTTTGGGTGACCCGAGCCCGGACCGGAAAACCCACGGGCCGGGCCTACCCGGACCAGTCACTGACCGGGCCAACGGATCGGGCCGGGCCGAAACAGTACCGGTCCCGGGCCGGTTCCGGGCCGGGCCACCCGGCCCGAGTCCATCCCTAACCAGGAGATTGGATCTTTTTCAAACAGCCCAAAAAGAAGAGCCTGAGGCCATGAGCTGGTTTTTTTTTCCCTTGAACTAGTCAACTAGCAGCCTCACCAATGAGTTCATTTTTTCTTTCGTTTCCCAACACATTAGCCGCACCAGCAATTTTATTGCTTCCCTGGAGAATGAACCGTAGCAGCAGGAGAGACCATCCATCGATTCTTGTGTTGTAAGCAAGCAGCTATTTTTCCTTCTCTTCATTTAGACGCAGCAGAAATAAAAGAAGATGGTAGCAGATTTTTCTTTTCTTTCTGATGGAATTAGCAGCAGCAGTAATAAAAAATCAAGGAGCTTCACTTCTCTCAATTTCTTCCATTCTAGTTTAGATTTCAGCAAGTATTGTAAGTGTAATTTTCATTCACAGCGTTAGTTCTTGATCTTGGACTGAATTTCATACTTTGTTCTTCTACGGTTAATAATTTTCGAATTTCCCATTTAAGTAACTCATTCGTTTCTTTACAATTTTATCAATTATTTATCTAGTGCCTTACCATGTTGATCAATATTATTCTGATGTTTGTTTTAAGTATGAGTAGCTAATTCCATCTAGGATTTAAATTGAGGCTAGGGTTCATGAGTTCTTAAGGGTGTGAATTTGATTTTTGAAATTCAATTAATTTTCTGGAAAATTGTATAAGATAAATCATAATTGTCTATATGAATTTGATCACCTCATATATGAATTTTTGGATTTAATTCAATTCTTGTCTATGGGAAATTGAGTTAAATTAGCTTGGATCTTATACGAGCAAACTAATCTTAGAAATAAGTTAGGATTGTGAAAATATGATTTAATTCTTGTCTATGAGAATTTATTTCATTTTCTTTCCAGGAGTAATTGAAAATTAATTTACTTAATTTTAATCCTGAAAAAACACCCAGAGCCCGAAGTCACGAACCATCCAATTTGAACCCTGTTTTAAAATCTAGAATCATGTTAATTTTTTTTACTCTTTTTACTTTTGCATTTGCTGTTTGTTATTTTTTTACCACCCAAAAATAATTATTTGGAAAGATTACCATGACTTGTGCTAGCCTGTGATCACAAATCGTATTTAAAACTTCCCTTTTGGCTCTCCTTGAGAGACGATACTCGTGGTCTGGTTGTTCTATGAATTAGCCAATTACGTTTTACTCACTAAAAACACACTGATCAAGTAGATATTGAAGTGTTTGGGTGAAAATGCAGAAATAATTTTAGGTACTCCAAATTGTTCAAAGAAGCAGTTTTTCAAAAGTTGTGGGACACCAATTTCTGAAAAATTGATTTCGGATTTGTTTCTGCATTTTAAAAAGCAGGAGAAGTGGAATTAATTCTACACACTCCCATAACTTTTTGAGATGTGCACCCTTTAGTGATATGAAGATTGATGTGAGATTGTAATTCCAAATAAAGATTGTAACACAGAAATTCATTATTTATGCCATTATGCGAACTTATTTTAGGTTATTAATTGTGTATCACACACCAAAATGTATATACCAAGTATTACAGACTAGTTTGGCGTAGACTTGTAGTATGTAAGGATCGAGATAATTGTCAAATGAGTACATTAGCGTGTACACATGGAGTAAAGAATCAATATATTGCATAAAATATTCATGAGGATATAAACACTGCCTCTGAATTAAATTTTAAAAATGCTTATGTGACAAAAGGCGGAGTTTAACTCACACATTCACCTTCTCCGAGACCAATTTTGAGTCATCGTCTCGATCCTCAACTTCTCCATGCATCTTGAACTTGCAAATCATCGAGTTGATTCTCAACCACTTGTTAGTGCAATATGCATGATACCGTGGATACAAGGCATCTCTTCTTGCCCCTTGATTTCAACTCCGTTAAAAAGATCACAATAGACCCTTTCTTCATTGACCTTTGCCACCGACAATGCCTCAAACTTGTCTGCCACATCTTCAAGAAAGGACATTGTGCATGTTCTCCCGTTCATGATTGTGGTCACTTCACGATGATGCTGAGACGGCAGAGAAACGACGTAGAAAAAGTCGAAATTCAGTATTTTGTTAGCCAATTTAGTCATATTTATGTCTTAATCTAGCGGATGTACTCAATTAATGCTAAAAGGTCGAGTTTATATCCTCGTGAATAGGAAATGAAATATAATGTATTCTTAGGATGCTTTCTTTTGGACTGCAACTTGGTGGTCTAATCTTGTCTAATATGGTCTGATCTGGTTAAGCCTGTTCTGGTATGAACTGGTTTGGTCTGGTAAAGGTCTGGTCTCTGTGTATTTTATAATTGTCCAAGTTGAGTTTGGTCTGGTCTAGTCTAGTTTGTTTAAGACTGGACTAGTCTGGTCTGGTCTGAAAAAGTTAATGTACTCATTTGACACTTCTATGTGGAGAAAAATGTCAATTCAATACATGAAGTTGTAGCGTGTGGAGTAAAGAGCACCTCATATTACAAGGGATATCAAGAAGTACACAAAATAGGTATTTCGATGTTAAATGAGTATAGTAACCGTATTATGACGTTAATTGGCTGACCTGGCAAACAGAATGCTGATATGTCAAAATTTACTCCACATCGCCCGTTAACTGCTTGCTTATTACACGTTTGAAACCTTAACCTATTCATACGAAGACTCAAAAGACAAAAAATGATGAAATTCTAAGCCTAAAGAGAAAGAGTAACTACGGTGTTGAAGTGGTAATATGAAGATGGAGAATGATAAATCAGATGAAAGGTACGATATCATTGACATTACTCTTCTATACATCATCGATGCATCCCTACAAACATTAATATTTTAGGAATTTGTTTACCCATATCTAATGGCTGAAGTTAGCAAAACCATAAGCACAAACCATGTTGGCTTAGCATAAGCACAAACCATGTCACCTTTGTACTCTCATATAGGTTTCCTATAAACCACTCCAATTTTTGTTTTTGGTGCTTTGTCATATCTTGAGTGTTTAATCATATATTGCATTACCCCAAAAATTACACTTTGGTGCAAGTGGTGCATTTGAATTTGTTGGTGAGCTTCATTGTATTAAAAACACGCTCTCCAACAATTAGTTAATTCTCTTACAATTTAAATAGTTTTTGAATATTGGTTAATTGGGCACACAATTTGTTTTGAAATAGACAAGGACATGAGAATCCTATTGCTGAAGCAGACACTGAGAGTGGTGCCAGTGTGCCCTTCATTGTTGATTTGGGATTTGATGATTCAGTTCTTGAGGCAGAAGCTGACCTATTGTTTGAAGATGAATTCAACTATGAAAATGAAGACGATGAGGAATTAAAACATGGTCGAGTACTGCTAGGGAAGTTGGTGACCAATCAAAAGGGTGTTGGTAAAAGTAAAGGACACAAGTCTACTAACCACAACATACTTGAAGAAGATTTAGTTGTGGAGGAAGATGGACATGAAACTGAGTATTTCAGCTCAAGTAATGAAGGCAGTTACAAGTCTGGATCACAATCATAAGAAGAAGAAGAGCCTGTTAGAAGGAAAAGCAAGTTTCCAAGTTTCAAAACAAATGACAAAGTTGAGTTCTCATTAAGAATGAGCTTTGGATGCAAATCTCAAGTGAAAGAGGCAGTGGATAAATATCTCTTCGCTAACAGGTATCCTTACTATTGGGCTAAAAACTGTGCTAACATGCTTAGGGCCAAGTGTTTTCAATTTTAATAAAACATGCACATGGATGGCTTACTTTGGGATACATAATAGAAGTAGCAGTAAGAAATGGGTTGTAAAGACTTCGAATAATGAGCATACCTGCAACCCAGGGTGGCAAATACCTAGTGCAACAGCGAAATAGTTAGTCAATAATTTTTTTAAAACAAAACTTGGTGTTTCTGAGATGAAAGTAGCCTCAATAAAAGAGATGGTGAAGAAATAATTAAATTGTGAGGCGTCTCTTGAGCAAATGAAGAAATTCAAGTCTATTATCAGAAAGATGGAAAAGGGGGACATTAAGGCAGAGTACAACAACTTAGAGGATTATAAGGCTGAAATAATGAGGTCCAATTCAGGGAATACTTGCATACTTCAGGTCACGCAGCCCATTCCAATTTTTGAAAGGTTTTAGAAAAATGCTAGAAGTACAAAAACACTTACAAAAAAACTTACAAACAAGTGATGTGGCTATTCTAATTACTATTGATGTAAAAGTGTTGTAAATGGGATGTGATGTGTTAAATAATGTGATGATGCCACATACCCCTTTTGTAAAACTTTTTGTAAAAGTTTTTGTACCTCTAGCATAACTCAAGGTTTTATGTCTGCTTTGATGCTTGCAAGAAGGGCTTCTTAGAGGGGTGTAGGAGGCTGATTGAAATTGATGGAGCATTTCTAAAGTCTGAAGTAAAGGGTAAAATCCTCACAACAGTAGCACGAGATGCGAACAATCAGATGTTCCCTATTGATTGGGCAGTTGTGGGTTCTGAGATTAAAGCTACATGGAAATGGTTTCTGGAGAACCTCAGAGATGATTTACATGACAAAGATGGACATTTCTTTCAGATCAAAAGAAGGTTATGAAGTTGCTATGATATCTTTACTACTTAAGTAGCTATAATACATTTTTAGTACTTGACTTGGTATAATATAACTGATATACTAAACTGATTTAATATATTTACATATATGTAGTACTTAAGTTGGTATATAAAATGATATACTAAAGTGATACAATGTATTTACATATCTTTACTACTTAAGTTGCTATACTAAACTGATATACTAAACTGATATAATATATATATGCATATTTTTGGTACTTAAGTTGGTATAATATAAACTGATATCCATTACCTGATATCATATGTTTACAAATCTTTATTACTTAAGTTGGTATAATATAAACTAATTTACATATCTTTACTACTTCGGTTGGTATACTAAACTGATATACTAAAGTTTGCTAATTACATTTATTTGCAGGGATTGATGCCAACATTGTATGAGACATTACCTGATGTTGAACACAGAAGATGTGCTAGACACATTTATGCTTTGTGGAGAAGATCACATCCCGGGATTGAATTACAAAGGCAGTTTTGGAAGTGTTGTAAATCTGCATCAAAGAGAGAGTTTGAGATGAATCTAGAGGTACTGAGATCTCTATCTCCCGATGGATATGAAGAGATTTTGAAAATAGATTCAAAGTTTTGGTGTAGGGCTTTCTTTAATAGGTCTATCAAATGTGAAACTGTGGATAATAATTTTTGTGAAGCTTTTAATCGAGTTAAGGTCTCAGTTAAGGTTTTCTCAATTGGAATTTATTAGGAAGTTGGTCATGCAAATGCTTATCAAGAATATAACTTTAGGGGACAAGTGGGTTGATCAACTAGGTCCTAGAATTAGGAAAAGAATCAACAAAATAGTGATAATAAACAATAATTGGAGGGTCCTGTTTTATAGTTCTGATGGCTATGAAATTTCATGTGGATCTGATACTTATTTAATAGACTTGAAGGGTAGGTGTTGTTTGTGTGAGCAATGGGATGTATATGGGATTCCTTGCAAACATGCAATTTGGGAAATTAGGGACAAAAGTCATCCAATTGAGGATTACGTTTCCCAATGGTATAAGAAAGATATGTATCGCCATACATATGCTCACATGATGACACTTATAGTCGATCCTCTCTTTTGGCCTAAAACAAACTTGACAGTATGGCCATCAGAATTGAAACCTAAAGAACTAGGCATACCATGAAAAAATAGAATTAAAGTGATAGGTGAGTACCCTAGGAGTGGTAAGTTACTTAAGAGAGGCACAAGTATCACATGTCAGCTATGTTTTGCAAAAGGCCATAACAAAAAGGATTGTCCATCAAAAAGAGGTAATTTCAAATGGGACAACGTCATTTTGATGGGTCCCAAATGAGGCAAAAGTATGGGGGGGAGGTGTTAGTATATATGTCCTAGCGACAATCATTTTTTTAAAAGACATGTGTACTTGATCACATTTAGTTTTTATATTTGATATATACATGGTATTACACTTTATGAATGATTGTTTTCGATTGTCAATGTTTTATTCATCATTGTGTTACCTTGGATTTATGTTGTCAATAAGTAAGTGGGAGCTTATATGATATAACATAAGGTCCTAAAATAGCCCCAATCAATGATCATCAAGAATGGGATATTGATGATATGCGATAAGATTGGTATGTGGACTGCATCATATTTTTAGAAAGTATAGTTGATCTCACGACTATGAGTTCCTGTAATTCATGATGGTCACATAGATATTTTAGAGAATATTGGCATACCCACCGAGAAACCATTTGATAAGTTCTATTCACGTGTCTATGGGATTATCGGCGTATAGAGTAGTGTAATAGTCCTCCGACTTGAGGTCAATACGTACTACATGTGCGGAGTGATGTACTTTGACCATGACCAACGCTTGCACTCCAATCGGGGTAGATACGGCATGTGTTGGGTGCATCACGAAGCACATGGAGTAGTAGTTGAGCCAAGAAAGGATTCATTCCTCATAATAGATTAAGAGAGAACATCCTACTTCTCATATCTAGATGGATCATAAAGTCATTGGCCAATGCAAAGATATATTCGTTTTGGATATCGAATATGATCGTTATGGATCATCTAGAAAGATTGAGAGACAGAGACTGAGTTATTGGGATAGACACTATATCATGTTCTAGACTTAGTTGAATGTTCGCTGAATGAAAGGACCGTATCACTATGAGCTCTATATTACAGGGAGTTTGAATAGTCCTCGCAAACGTCCTTATATATTAAGATTGTCTGGTAAATCGTCTAGGGATTCTACTAAGACCTTAATTTGATTAGGGCTTAATATATAAGGCCCTATGGGTCACACAATAAGTGATTATACCTTCCGATTGAATTGTTAGAAGGGAATTAAATATTATTAATTGGATTAAATAATATTCAATTCATAATACTGAAAATGGATTAAATATTAATTAGATTAAATATATTTAATTCATGATGTTGAAGGAGTGTTCTATTTGATAGAATTAATTAAGTGTGATAAATTAGATTTATTATACTTAATTAAGATGTATTTATTATTTAATAAAATTGATATTTTCTTTTGTAATTTAGAATTAAAAAGAAAAGTAAATAAACTAAATAATAATATATATAATAAATAGAGAGTGGCGTAAGACCACTTCTCTATTGTGGTTATTATTATTATTATTTTGGTTTGTTTTATCTACTTATTTAATTAATAAGGAGTATTGGTCCTAGCGGGATTAGGACTCATTAATTAGAAAGATTTTCATTGTGATTCAGAAACTAGTTTAGAACTAGTATAAATACATCCACCTCCTTCATAATTAGTCACCGGTTTTCAGATTCAGTATTACCAGTTTATTTCCCCGCGAAGAGATTTCCTAGCCTTTCTCTTAGGGAGATCTAACCGTTCTTTCGGAAAGGAGAAATCACGTGGATACCAAAGGTCAAGGATTATCACCGCTAGGCTGGAAGATATGTAAGTTCTAACTCAGATCTGTTATTATTATCATATTCGTTATTTTGTCATAATCAGGGAAGATCTGTTTGGGAAAATTTTAAATTTCCGCTGCCGTACTTTCGAGGTACGTTACATCTATTTCCTAACAGTGGTATCAGAGACAGACTGATTTTAATGACATCATACGAATTTTGTAGATACTTTGGTGGAACGAAAATACATAATTTTCGGATTATGTTTTTGACCAAAGTTTGTTTTTGTTCAAAGTAGTTATATTTTGACTTGTGAAATCAATTGTGATTTGATTTGAGATGCCGATTAGGATGAACTAGAGTTCTACCGGTTTTGAACCATGAAGTTTTAGAATTCTTACTAAAGTAGGGAATATTTTGTTTTTAAAAATTAAAATTGCTGTCTTCTTTTGTGGTTATTTTTGTTGATCGATTTGGAGATAACATAGCATCCAGACCTCTGCGACGAAGTCTGCGGCATCCTCCCAAATTAGAGTGGAGAGGTGGTGTTGGGCTTGTTTTCGAATTTTGCCAAATTTCTGGGGAATTCTTTTATATGTATAAACTTGTACATATTATAAATTGTACTATCCCTAGAAGTTCAACTCTTTGGACCGGCTAAATTGGAATCAGCCTGGACAGTTTTTGTTTTTGCTGTATTTTTTTTATGGATTTTTCATATTCCATTTAAAGATAAAATTGGGCAGATAATAAAATGACAGTTTTGAGTAAATTTACAACAATAAAGTTAATCGTTTTCAATTAGATTAAATATCTACTACTGAGATAGATTAACTATAATTGTAATTTTTAGGCATGCTTATGTTATGGACGTTTGACTACTATATCTGTTTGTAAATTAGATTTATATTGCATGTTTGAGTTATCTGTCTGAGTTAGATCTCGTTAACATATTATTTGATAATATGTTCTAGCATCTTGATTAAATAGAATAATTTAATGCCCCACCAAATGTTCCCCATAAATTAAAATTTAAGTCTTATCTGGGATAACGATATCACCCTTCATAATTAAATTAGTAGAAATATTTTTTCGTTGAAGAATATTTCACCTAAGTGTTTATTCCATTCGACAAAATATAGAACTAATTTATAGATACATATATTTGTGATCGTGTGATGGTTTTGACTTACTTAAATTAGCTCGAGTCGCCCAAGCGTCAGTGTTAATTTAGGGATGTCGATCAATTTGAAAAATTGATCAACCAAGAGTTGCTTTGATGCAATTGGTCTAGGGACCTGCCCATTATATTATTGTAGTGATCAGCCCAAGCTGGGACTATAATAATATGAATGTGGATCTTGGCCACGACGATTGTAAAAAACAATCTATGTTCTTTTTATTGGGGTCAAAGAACATGAAAAATAGTGGGAACTAAATAATTAAAAGTCCATATTATTTAGTTAACTAGATGTGATCATAGGAATTAATATATGATTTTAATTCCGTTCTATTTGAACTTCTTTAGACTTTTTAGGTATGTCGAATTTATCATTGAGAAGTATCTTGGATACAAATAATCTGATTGAACCAAACTTTCTAGACTTGGAACAAAATATGCGTTTTGTTCTTAGGCAAGAAAATATCGAACATGTATTTGATACATGTGTACCCGAGATCCTTGATGTTAGCTCTTCTGAATTAGCCATGTTTGACAAGGACATTCAGAAGAATCACATTGCTAAGGTACCAAATGATGTATGTCTCTACTGCAAAGAGATAGGACATTGGAAGAGAGATTGTGAGATATACAGGACTAATCTAGCCAAAGCACCGAGTGCTTCTAGCTTAGGCATTTTTGTCATTGATATTAATATGTCTACAACTAACTCTCACTGTTGGGTATTAGATACGGCTTGTGGCTCACACATTTGCAATAGTGTGCAAGGCCTAAATGACAGTAGAGCAGTTAGGCTGGGTGAGATTGACCTACGTGTAGGAAATGGAGCAAAAGTTGCTGCTGAACGTGTAGGGACTTATATATTAGATTTACCCAGTGGTTATAGATTAGAATTAAATACTCCCTCCGTTCCTAAAAATTCTTCCCGGTTTGACTCGGCACGCTTATTAAGAAAGTGGAATAAAGTGGAAATGTATGGTTGTGGTTGTGTAAGAAAAAGGTAAAATGAATGTGAACCACACAAATTGTCCAAAATGGGAAAGTGGGAAGTATTTTTGGGAACAGCCCAAAAAGGAAAGTGGGAAGTATTTTTGGGAACGGAGGGAGTAATTGTTATTTTGTTCCTTCTATAACAAAGAACATAATTTCCATTCCTATGTTAGACATTGAGGGTTTTTCCTTTCATTTTACTAATAACACTTGTTGTTTTTCACAAAATGGTATTGTGTATGGAAATGCTCCTCTTATGAATGGTTTATATGTTCTTAATTGTAGACATGACATATTAAATGTACAAAATAAAAGACCAAGGTTAAGTAATCTGAAAAATACCACATATCTTTGGCATTGTAGGCTTGGTCATATTAATGAAGCCAGAATAGCAAGGTTAAGTAAATTAAATTACTTAAACACCATTTGATTTTGAATCATATGGTAATTGCGATTCGTGTCTCTCAGCTAAAATGACGAGTAAACCTTTTCTTGGAAAAGGACTACGGGCCAAAGAAGTGCTTGAATTGGTTCACACAGATGTGTGTGGACCATTCCCAACTCAAGCTAGAGGAGGTTTTTCTTACTTCATCACGTTTACTGACGATTTCTCTAGGTTTGGATTTGTGTATCTTATGAAACACAAATCAGAAGCTTTTGAGAAATTCATGGAGTATAAGGCTGAAGTAGAGAAGCAACTTGACAAGAGTATCAAGACTTTACGATCTGATCGTGGAGGGGAATACTTGAGTAAGGAGTTTCTTGATTACTTAAAAGGTAGGGGAATTCAGTCACAATGGACTCCTCCAAGAACACCTCAATTGAATGGTGTCTCTGAAAGGAGAAATAGAACCGTGTTAGACATGGTTAGGTCCATGATGAATTCCACGTCTCTTCCAACATCTCTTTGGGGGTATGCATTGCAAACTTCGATATACATTCTGAATAGAGTTCCATCTAAATCAGTGCAAAAGACACCATATGAGTTATGGTGTAATAAGAAGCCTGTTCTTTCACATATTAAAGTGTGGGGTTGCCCTGCTTATGTAAAGAAATTGCACACTGATAAGTTAGGAGCTAGAAGTGAGAGATGTTATTTTGTGGGGTATCCTAAAGAAACTAGGGGATACTATTTCTATCATCCTGAGGAACATAAAATCATTATTTCCAGACAGGCACGATTCCTAGAAGAAGACTTGGTCTTCAAGGAATTCAATCGTGAGAAGATAGTACTAGAAGAAATTCAAGAATCACAAAATAACATAGAGGATGAAGACTTGTTAGATGGTCAAAACAAGGATTCAGTGGGAGGATTAAGCGGAAGTATGTCTCTAGGAGGATATCCTTCAGCTAGTGGGAGTAATATAGGAAGCACCTCGTACCAGCAAGTGGTTCCTATTAGGCATGAAAGAAATGACATGGTTGTCATTCCTTCTGCACCTACTTCTCCTTCTCTGGAAACACTTAAAAGTGTAGCACCAGAAAATTCTCCGAACATTGGACAGTCCAATGAAAGAGAACCTCTTCACAATCAGAATGAGCAGCCTGAACAATCGCAAAATATTCAACTTCGTAGGTCTACTAGGATTCGTCATGAACCAACTAGGTTTGGCTTCCTCATGGAGGATCATGATGATGTTGAAATTCCTGACAAGGATGAACCTAAGACTTACACTGAAGCAATATTAGATATTGATTCAGAGAGGTGGCGAGAGGCTCTGAAATGGACTGGATGTATATCAATCAAGTATGGAACTTGGTTGACTTGCCTGTTGGGGTTAGACCCATTGGATGCAAATGGGTTTTCAAGAAAAAAATTGATGCTGAAGGCAAGGTGCAAACATACAAAGCTAGGCTAGTGGCTAAAGGTTATAGTCAAAGAGAGGGAATTGGCTATAGTGACACCTATTCGCCAGTTGCAAAACTCAAGTCCATTCGAATTTTGCTTGCGATAGCAGCATACTATGATTATGAGATTTGGCAAATGGATGTCAAAACTGCTTTCCTTAATGGAAACCTCAAGGAGGAGGTGTACATGGTACAACCTGAAGGTTTTATATCCAAGTCAAATCCCAAATCAGTATGTAAATTGGAGAAATCCATATATGGGCTAAAGCAAGCCTCAAGGAGTTGGAATATCCGTTTTGATGAAGCGGTAAAATCGTTTGGCTTCATCAGAAGCAATGAGGATGCGTGTGTGTATACAAAACGCAGCAAGGATAGCGTGGTCTTTATGGTCATATATGTTGATGACATTCTGATCATAGGGAATGATATCCCCTTATTGAAGTCTGTGAAAGAATGGTTATCCAATATCTTCATGATGAAAGATCTAGGTGAAGCCTGTTATATCCTTGGGATTAAGATCTATAGAGACAGAGTTAACAGGATGTTAGGTCTTTCACAATCCACGTATATTGACAAAATACTACATCGATTTAAAATGGAAGAATCTAAGAAAGGATCCCTCCCGATGGGTCATGGGATATCGTTATCAAAGAAGGATAGTCCTTCAACTGATGATGAGATCAAACGCATGAGAGGGATTCCATATGCTTCCGCAATTGGTTCAATCATGTATGCTATGATCTGTACTAGGCCAGATGTGGCTTATGCGCTTAGTATTGTTGGTCGATATCAAAATAATCCAGGAGAACGACATTGGAGTGCTGTTAAGACTATTCTTAAGTATCTTAGACGAACTAAAGAATATTTCTTGGTTTATGGTGGACAAGAGAAACTAATAGCATCTGGTTACTCTGACGCTAGCTTCATGACAGATAAGGATGACTATAAGTCACAATCAGGATATGTTTTTAATCTCAATGGAGCAGCAGTAGACTGGAAGAGTTCCAAGCAAGACACTACAGCTGATTCGACAACAGAAGCCGAGTACATTGCTGCATCAGAAGCAGCTAAAGTGGCCGTATGGATACGTGAATTCCTCAAAGAATTAGGGGTTGTTCCAAATGATAGTCATCCAATAACCATTTATTGTGACAATACTGGTGTTGTTGCACAAGCAAAGGAACCAAGATGCGACAAGAGGAATGGACATGTGCCGACGCGCTATCATGTGATTCGAGAGCAGATAGCAAGAGGAGAGGTTGCAATAGAACGTGTTTCCACTGAGGACAATTTGGCTGATCCCTTCACAATGGGACAACGTCATTTTGATGGGTCCCAAATGAGGCAAAAGTATGGGGGGGGGGAGATTGTTAGTATATATGTCCTAGCGACAATCATTTTTTTTTAAAGACATGTGTACTTGATCACATTTAGTTTTTATATTTGATATATACATGGTATTACACTTTATGAATGATTGTTTTCGATTGTCAATGTTTTATTCATAATTGTGTTCCCTTGGATTTATGTTGTCAATAAGTAAGTGGGAGCTTATATGATATAACATAAGGTCCTAAAATAGCCCCAATCAATGATCATCAAGAATGGGATATTGATGATATGCGATAAGATTGGTATGTGGACTGCATCATATTTTTAGAAAGTATAGTTGATCTCACGACTATGAGTTCCTGTAATTCATGATGGTCACATAGATATTTTA